ATGACTCCAAGAGAAGATTCTGGAAAGAACCAGACACTGCTCTACAGGAGTCAGATGAAGCTGCTAATCACATCAGGTACAACTCCGAGAGATTCTGGAAAGAACCAGACACTGCTCTACAGGAGTCGCACACGTGATGGGACACATAACGCACCTCGGTTCTAGCATTCAACCAGATGAAGTTCAATTTTGCCAAGATCTGATCAACTGAACATGCACTACAAAATGTCTGGTTTCTTCGTTTGTTTTTATGCTGCCGCATTAAAAGCTTGGCTAATAAATATGTGAGAACTTTGGTTTGAGGGTACAAAAAACAAAACTCAATGGCAGTCCAAGGCCAGTTCCTAGGAGGCCAGACATAACGCTACCCTCAAACCTTTTTACCGATTCTGACACCAACCATCCCTCCCCTACAGCACTCTTTTATTTCTCTGCTGGGTTTGTGGTGCTGTAGGATAGCACCGGACTGTTAACCACAAGGTGGGCAGTTCAAACCCACCAACTGCTCCTTGGAAACCCTATACAGGGTTGCAATGAGTTAGAACTGACTCAATGGCACATAACAAGTTACAATTAGGATAAAAAATGCTCAGAATACAGCTCTTCAATCAGGACAGTGTCTTCTCAGCCGTGCCCTCAAGCACACAGCTCTCTGGTCCACAGCCTCTCAACCACAGGGGCCTTAGCCTCTGTCTAGCTGCTCAGGCAAGTGTTACCAAGTTCTTTGAACTCTGTCCATAAATGCTCAAAAAGCACTCTCCATTCTGCCAGGAAGACTGAAGGAGCTCCGCTCTAGCTCTAGTTCCATGGACCAGCAAACGGAGCTCTCCTCCTTCCCCCACTAATTGTCTGGAAGCCTCCCACTTCACCAGCTAGCCTGCTGCCTAAAGGCCCTCAGCTTTCTTGCTCCATGGGCGGAGAGCCCACAGCTGTCTCGTGTTCCTGGTTCTGCTCTCTCTGCATCCTGTCGCATCTTGCCATCTCTGGTGTCACAACTCTCTCTCTCTTGTACCAACAAGCTCAGTGTGGGGATGTACTCTACTCCTAGGTCTTCTTTCTTGATAGTAGTGAGACGCCCCTTGGCCACTTTTGAGATGGTTTATTTTAAACCTAGTGTGATGGCAAAACTGACCAATCCCTATAGTAGAGTTCCATACATCCTATTTGCATGGTCCCATCCTATATGGGTGCCATGTACCTTATACATATTATTGGCAAGCTATCTAATCCCCTTGTGGGCCTCAAACACTGAACATTTGTAAAGTCCTATCCAGTCATTTGGCAGAAACTACTAAGACTGTAAGAGATGACACAACCTTGCTTGGTAGAAGTGAAGAGGACTTGAAGTACTTGCTAATGAAGATTAATAAAGACTACAGCCTTCAGTATGGATTGTACCTCAATGTTAAGAAACTGAAATCCTCACAACTGCACCAGCAGCCAAGTAATCAAATGTCATATTCTATTAGGCCAGTCTGTTGCACAAGACCTTTTAAAGTGTTAAAAAAATAAGGTCAGTTTGAGGACTAAGGTGCACCTAACCTAACCCAAGCCACTGGTATATTCAATCATCTCATATGCATGTGAAAGTTAGATAATGAATAAGGGACACTGGTACATTTGAATTATGGTGTTGGTGAAGAATACTGAAAGTACCCTGGGCTGTCAGAAGAACAAACACATCTGTTTTGGAAGAAGCACAGTCAGAATGTTCCTTAGAAGCGAAGACGGTGAGAGTTCGTTCTCTCATACTTTGGACACATTGTTAAGAGTGACCAGTCCCTGGAGAAAGACATCATGTTTGGTAAAGTGGAGGGTCAGAATAAAAGAGGAAGATTCTCAACAAGATGGATTGAGACAGTGGTGGCAACAATGGGCTCAAACATAACAATTGTGAGGATGGAGCAAGACCCAGCGGTATTGTGTTCTGCTGTGCACAGGGGCCCTACCATAACACAGCTGGAAGAGCCACATCAAGTAAATTAATGCAACTTCAGGAGAGACCTCAGCTAAACCAGGTGATTTTTTGGGGGTGCTTTATGATACACGGTCATCAGTTTGTGTTCTTTTTTTGAGGCATACTTAAGTGTTCCTATGCAAGGTTGGAGTCCTGGTGTGGCGCTGTGAGCTAGTGCATCAGACTACAAAGTCATTTGAACTGCAAGTTCGATGGTTCAAGCTCACCAGATGCTCCTTGGTAACCCTATACGGGGTTGCTATGGGTTGGAATCGACTCGATGGCACTTCACAACAACACAACAATGCAAGGTTGGTTTGAACCACAGGCTGGCGGTTCAAATTCACCAATTGCTCCTTGGAAACCCTATATTGGGTCACTGAGTCAGAGCTGACTTGACGTTACTTAACAACATTAAGATTAGTGGTGCAGTGGGTTAAGCACTGGACTGCTAACAAAAAGGCCAGAAGTTCAAACCCACCAACCACCCAGCAGGAGAAAGATGAGGCTATCTACTCCCATAAAGATTTATAGCCTTGGAGACAACTGTTCTGGCATCGTTATAAGTCAGAAACAACTCGATGGCAGTAGTTGTATCTTCTTACATAAAGACTCAGCGTTTCAAACTTTTATTTAAAAGCCTAATTCTGGGGTTTTCTGTCTTGTTTTTCTATAACTCCCATCTTCTCCTCACTGGTAGAGATGGAGCCTCCTTTCCCAAGTGTGAGGTAGGAACTTGCAGGAAGCAATTTCCCAAAGCAAAAAAACCCCAACCTTTGCTTTGGGGTCTTTCTAACACACCAACACCAGAGGATAAAAAATGGGGGCTGACCAGACCACGGGGACTACCTGGGGGCCAATGCATGAGGCAGTCTATCATTGCCACACGGTAGGGCTGCTAAGAGCCCTGAGGCTTAGAGAAGCTTCCTAGTTGGTGACCACCCACTTCTTTAGGTTAAGACCTCTCCCAGACCTCATACTATGCGTCTCTTTATTTGTATCTTTTCTCATGTCATACATCTATAGCCAGAATATGGGGTACTCTCTATGAATTCTTAGAGTCACTCTGTGAATTAGCGAACAGGGGCAGTGAGAGCTAGCAGGGACTGCCTAACAGTCAGATGGAAAGGAGGTGCACTCTGGCCTAGCATTCCCAGGTACCATTTCTGTCCACGAAATGCTACATGGGAAACTGGTCTGAAAGACAGCTAGCTGTCTAACATGCGAGCTCTGATCAAGCTCTGCATGGTTAGGGTGAGAGAAAATGTGTCCTAGAAGCAGTTGGCCAGGAGGATGGACAAGAGAATTCATGCTGACCCTCACTATGCAGTTAGTCAAGAAGGTGTGATGTATCCACTGTGCCCATTGCTTAGTGCACCAAGCACAAAGAAATGGAGTTCAAAGAGCAGGAGTTAACAAAAAGATAAATTTTAATCATCTTCTATGCTTAATAATGGCAACATTTACCTCCAGATCCCTAAAGTTATCCTTAAAGGCAAATGCTTGTCCAGAACATGGCTTAAAATTCCTTTGGCTTTAGTAATCTGCTTCTTAAGAGGGAAAGAGTCACATTATAAAACTACTGTAGTTTTCAGCTTGCCATACAAGAGGAAGTACTAATCATTACTTCCTTAGTGTGGTTACCTCAATGCCCACCCAAAATTAGGATTAGAGCCTACAGGATCTGGAGGTGAAATTCAGGCTAGTCATTAGTGGTCAAACAACTTCAGTCACAAATTGCTCGGCCTCTGTAGCAAAGGTTCCGCTTCTATAATCAGAAGTAGCTACTCCCTAGCACCTAACCACTCATCTTGGGTTTCTTCAGCGGTCTCACCCTTGCCAACCACAGAACTGGCTTCCATTCTCAGGAAAATGTGGTCCAAATTACAAGCAGCACGAGAGGCTAGGGCTAGTCACTACTGATGTTGCCACAGGGTGCTTCCCTGGACGGTACCAGTGAAGCATATTTAGTAGCATCCCTGGCCATCTGTGAGTGATGTTGACAGTTATGAACTCAGCTACTAACTGAAGGGCTAGCAGTTCAAATCCACCTAGAGATATCTCTAAGAACACAGTTCTACTCAAATATGCACTGGGTCACTGTGTGTCATCTGATTTTGTTTTTTCCTTCTGGCCCCTACCCACTAGATGCCAGGAGTGTCTTCATCCTTAGTTGTTGACACAAAAAAATGTCTCCAGACATCCCAAAGTGTCCCTGGTTAAGAACTGCTGGGCTAGGAGATGGTTGATGAAGCACTGGGGATCTTACCAGGGCCTAACCTGAGAGAACCACCTTTTTGCTTAACTAGTTGCTGTGGAGTTGACTTGATTTATAGGGACACCATGTGTTGTTGTTGTTAAGTGCTACTGTACCAGTTCAGACTCATAGTGGTCCTGTATAGAGTTTTTGAGACTGTAAGTCTTTGCAGGAGCAGAAAGCCTCATCTTTCTCCCACAGAGTATCTGGTGGACTCGAACCGCTACCTTTGTGGTTCAAAGTCCAGTGCTTATCCTACAGACACACTGTGTTCCTGACACCGTGTGTATCATTGCAGAGTTGTGCTCTTCAAGGCTTTCAATGGCTGATTTTTCGGAAGTAAATCACTGGCTTTTCTTCTGAGGTGTCTGGGTGGAGTGAAATCATAAGCCTTCTGCAGAGGCCATCTCAAAGTGACCGGCAGTGGAGCTCTGCAGGCCCAGGCCCTTTTTCAGGCCTGAACATTCTGCCTTCAGTGGGGGTTACCCAGCAACCTTTCATAATCCCCACCAGACTGCAAGTCCCACTGGCTTCCTGGGGGAGACGCTGTGTCTTTCTGTTGTTGCCAAGGCAAACCCAGGCAGTCTCCCGGCTTTACCCAGGGAAGCTTTCCAATCCCTCAAGTATGCTCTCAGCCCCTCACGATCTCTGGATCCATACTCCTACTCCTCTTGACTCCAACCCCCTGGCTCCTTAGCTGAGCATCAAACATGCCAAGTCCATTTCTGCTCCTGCCCTGCTCCGTTAACAAGGCCATTCTGTGGCCTCATCACCCAGGTCAGCAACCTCTGCGAACACTGACACTCCACCCCCACTTTTGGGATGAATCACAAATTCACTCCTTTTGCCTACTAAAAGGAGTCCCTTTTAGTCCTTTGCCTATTAGCCTTGACCATTTTTTATTGGTATTCTCAGTGTGGGTGATGCAAATTCCTAAGCAAAACTGAACATTAACCAAAAGGCTGGTTGTTCAAGTCCACCCAGAGAATAAAGACTTGGTGATCTGTTTCCAAAAGATCAGCCATTGAAAACAGTTTGGGCTTGCCAAAAGTGGGAGTGGAGTGGACCCAATTGCAACTAATTTTTGAACCCAAATGCTTAAGCACTCGACTACTAACCAAAAAAGGCTAGTGGTTCAAACCCACCCAGAGGCACTTCGGAAGAAAAGTCTGGCAATCCGCTCCTGAAAAATCACAGCCATTGAAAATCCCATGAAACACAACCCTACTGAAACACATAAATCGGCCGCTCCTCAAAAGCGTCGACACAGCAAATACGACAGATGCTGAATATACCAACGTGGGACGCAACCCTTTCTTTACGACAAGGCCTGCAACCAAGACCCCCGTCCTCGTTCAAACCCCACAGATATTTATTTGTCTCTCCGGGATCTGGCACCCTTCCCAACCGCGGGGCTAGCAACGAGGGGTGGCAATGGGTGCTGCGGCATTTTGCGGGAGCACACCATAGGGAAGGGCCGGGCAATGGCGACAGCGGACGGGTCTGCAGGCTGGTCTTAAGGTCCGAGACACGACACCTGTGTCGCCGAGGTTTGAAGAAGCCGGGGCTGGAGGAGAAAGAAACCCCAGGTGACGGGCCCGAGTCCCCGGACACAATGGTAGGTGCAGAGACATGAGGCGGACGGGACCCGGGACGCGCGGCTAGGAGCACTGACAACCAGGCGCCGAGGCGTGAGGGACGCGACCAGAGGCGACGGGTCCGCGGCGCCATTTTGTGGTCGCAGAGTGGACAGCGACCTGGCTAGGGAGGCGCGGGCGAACCCGGCGCGACCTCACCACGTCCCCCTGCCGCACCCACCCAGAGTCCGACACCCAACCCTCTGGGACACACCTGTATAACTCATGGCGGTGACGAACGCTGCGCCGCTTCCTAAGCAGCTAATCCGTGCACTCGACGCCGCTACAGCTGCGACAATGCCCCAGACCCCTTCTACCCATAGTCAAGCCCCACCTCCCAACCACATTGGTGCGCTTCAGTCTGGAGCTTTACACCTATTGGATAATATCGCTGTCCATCTTAGATTTTCCTCATTCCAGTGGCTAAGTGTGATGCCAATCTCGAAAGCACCACCTTTTTCCCGCCCCCAATTTTCTAAGCCCTTTCTGATTGGTAGAGAGGAGATTGACGAGATAAAGGAGTGGATTTCTGTGTAGTACGTAGGGGACGCGGCTGTAAATACCGAAAGGCTCGAGGCCCTAGTTTAAATGCGAAAGGAAGAAGCGCTTGTTCAGGAGGCTCGGCAGGGGGAGCCGGGTGCTAGTGCAGAAAACAGTTTAGTTCCCAGCTCTGCCACCCTTGTGAAGTGCAAACCTGGGCTAAATTTCTTAACTTTTCTGCCCTTAGGTTCAGAAGTGAACATGGTAATTCTTTGCAGGGATGAGAAAATGACGATTAAGCACATTTGAACCCATGTTCAAATGTTAAATGTGAACATGTGTATAAAAAAATCAGTTCAAGTTGTACAACATGAGGTAATTGAGGTCATTAATTTGTTATGTAATTGAGGTCATTAAATTGTACACTTGAAAAATGGCAAATTTGTGTTTTATATATACACACACACACACACACACACACACACACACATATATATACGTACATACATACATACATACATAAGGAGCGCTGGTAGCATAGTGGTTACGAATCGGGCTGCGAACTTTAAGGTCAGCAGTTCGAAACTACCAGCAGCTCTGTGGGAGAAAGATGAGGTTTTCTACTCCCATAAAGATTTACAGCCTC